GTTGTTGTTGTGCATCTGTGTTTTACATGAGACAATTATTCAGTTCATTGTTTATTTCATTTTATTATAACTGACATGAAATAAAAAAACAATACAGGCTCCAATTGTGCAGAATAAATGTAAACCTTAGTTAAATAACAACATGGTTTATTTTGCTCTCTACAGAACTAATTTCAGAAAGAAAGAGGAGGAACTTGAATCCTTAAACAGAAGGTACTGATGTAAAAACAATCTAACAGTTTACATGGTAATTTAGATTTTTCCAGATAAATTATCCATTTGTTGGTTGTTAAATTTTACTGTATTTGGCTGAGGTTCGTGTTGTTGTGCATCTGTGTTTTACATGAGACTTCTATTCTATTTATTTATATTCATGTAATACATACATACATACATTAACTGAATTTATTTACTTTAACTGACTTCTATCTTCATGTAGCCCACCTATACCCCATTGAAGTAGGTTAGGGCCCCTGAGTTCGTAAAAAAACCCTTAAACTCTATTTACTCTTTATATTTCGACTTGAGTTTGACTCACCTCCGAGGACAGTAACAACTTTAAACACAACCTAAGGAAATCAGAATCAGGGTTATAATCCAGCCTTAAATCTGCTTATTTCTTATCCAATAATTTGAAATAACCAAACAACTCACAACAGTTTATGAACTTTGAACTTATATTGAGCAAAACAACCAAACAAAACAATACAATTGAGATGATTGCAAAATAAAATTAAAATAAATTTCTCTCTGTAATAAAGTTTCAGTTTCAATTGTCCAACTTAAACCAAAATATGTGGGCCACACTTCCTAACTCACACCTAAGCCGACGTAAAGTTAAAAATAAACCAAAATTCCCCCGTTGCAGGCCTGATATGATGTGGAACTTTTAGAATGTGGTTCCTCTCCCCAAAGTTTGGAACCTTCTGGTGATGAACCTGTCCTTTGGTCCTGGCTGATAAAGGAAGATGGATGCAGGATGTTGATCACTCGTCACCAGTCTCTCGGTCCCCAGCAACACAGCATGCAGCAGAAAAGTCCAGTGAAGATGCAGTCCTCCGAATCAGATCCATAGAAAATCAGTACTGCTCACCTCTCTGCACAGTGCTTGACTCTCCCAGCTTCCACGCCGGAAACTTTACTAGAGTCTCTGTTAGCTGAGCTAGCTCCCAGTACTGAAAATGCATTCACTTTGCTGGTGAATGCTAATGCATTAGCGAGCACTGAAACAATACCTACAGCTACTATACAGTAGTGATGTGATGAGATGAGCCGAGGCTTCGAGGCGTGTGTCGAGTAATGGAGGGGGCGTTTCCCTGAAGCGCGTGTCGAGGCGTGATTCATTTAGAGGAGGGACCAAAATTGATGACGTCCGAGGCCTCGCTACCGTGATACCACGTGACCGCTTCGGTACGTGGTTCGGGATGCGCAACAATTTTGACAGGCATCTAAACAGCCTCAGTGT